ACTGGACTTCAAAATTAACAGCCAGGCCTATAGGCAAGAACAGAAACATTGCATGGCCCACAGTGTGCTGGAGCATTCTTTGTCAGGAGGTAAGCTTGCCCCTAAATGCCAACACCACATCCAACAACAAGGCACAAACAGGCAACGAGTACATGCAACACCAACTGTGTTTATCTGCTTGCTTCTGAAAACTGAACTCCTGAAATATTTCAGACAAAAGGCACTTGAAAAATGACCACCCTCAGAAGATATGGATAGTTTGTTAGCAGTGAGCAAATGATTTGCTAACTTGAGTATGAATGCAAGACTTGCTTGGGAAATGTATTTTTCTGAATTCAGATTCAAGTTGCAAGGCACAAGCAAAGAAATATTCAGGGAATGATTATTCTTAAAAGATTATTTTTAAAAGGATAGAAGAGACTGGATTAAATCTTGCCTTCTTTGAGTATCACAGATTGACTTTTCTCAGAAACTTTAACATATAAACAATATCAAGAAATATTTAAATACGTATTTAGAAGACTTAGTGAATTGTAACAAATGTGCTGACTATTCCTGTGTGTTTTGCTTTGTCCTGGTCATTTTCCACTCAAATCTCAACATACCTGGTTTCTAACATAACCAATGAACATACAACATATTTTAAACTTAAGCTTTTCATTGTCTAAGATATCTTCTGCATTTCAGATAGCTTGGACAATGCCACTAAATTCATGAGATTCCCCTTACACTCCCCATAAATTAACACAATGCTGTTGAGTTAGGTTTCATCCTCCTGCAGAGAAATATACAAATTCTTCCAAAAGACTGTTTACATTGACATCAGATAGGATGGAAAACAAATTACGACGTTTGTATTTGTACTAGGAGCCAGATACTGCTGTAATCATGGAAATCAGTGGCAATGCTCCTATTAGATGCTAGTTCTTACAAATTGAAATAGTTTATTAGTCCCCTACTGTTCTGACTTCCATCTGTCCAAGTATTTATTGAATGAGAAGGAGATTGCTGAGTAATAGCTGCTGGAGAGAGACATGCGTGGCAGATTCACCGAAAGGGTTAAGGGAAAGATTCTCTTCAAAGTTTCCCTCATGTCTTTCCAAAACTTAGAGTTGTATCTCCTTCATTCTTAGCTGTAGTGCCCTCTTCTACACCACGGTCCTTTCAGGTTCCATGATAACAGAGTTGCTACACCTGAATTTAAAATGCACAGTTTCCCTGGACATTACAAACGTCTGTGGAGGTGAAAGGGAATTAATAAAAATAGTGGAAGAAAGTGAAAAAAAAAAAAAAAAAAAAAAAAATCTTAAAATTGATTTTAAAAATCAGTATGCAGGGAGGAAGATAAATATAATCTAAAAAGGGCTCTCGTTCTGGTTGTGTATTTCTTAGCTAGATTAATTTTTCATTGCCATTAACATTAAAGTTACCTTTCATTCTGACAGCTTTTTAAAAAAAGGAATGTTTTTGTCACTACTGAATACATTCAAACAGTAGTGTCAAATCCAGAACAATTTGCATGAGCAGCCACCAACTGATGATGGAAAATGGAGTATTTGGGAAATACGGTCAAGTGCCTACTTCAACTTCAACTTTGGACAATGAGAAATCAGGGCCAAACTCTGCAAGGAATTGCAGTCTCACACAGATACGAACTGGGAGAAAGCTTGCACATGGGAACAAAAGGGCTTCCTGATTCCTTGGCATTCAGGACAATTACATTTATTTTTCTAGTGAAACGTGTTCTCCCCTTTCACATATGAGATTTTTTTTCTGTTGTAAGGTGAAGACACTACAAGAAATTTCAGTACATCACACAGAGAATTCCAAAAACTGAGTCTTCTCAAGGATAGATAAAATAAAGAAACATTTAAGAACCCTCAGTAAATGTCTCACCCATCTGGCGTGAGCTTGTAGAAATCAACAAGATGGAAAAGGCTCAGTATTGGATTAACTAAAAATGGCATTAGGACAACCAGCTATGCAAGGAAATTACAACAGCCTCTTTCAGAAATCATTCTGGATAGGGCAGGCATGCCAGCCTCAGGACTGCCACAAGGGTTTTCTACTGGGCAAAGAGAGTAATAAGAAACTAAAAAACTTTTGGCATTTCAACTTTATTGAAAAAGGGTACAAAGGAACCACCTCTGGATATTGTAAAACTCACAAATAAATTCTTTACAGCTGCACAAGGGAAGATAACAATGAGAGCCCGATATTTCATTCCTAGCACAGTAAAAAATCCTATTATAGCCAATGCTGTTATGGGTGCACCAGCTGTATTCTGGGAATTCTATATAACTTCTGTCTATTGCTGAACCAAAACCCCTGAGGCCAGCTTGTGAGATTAAAAAGTCCTCCTCTTTCATATACATGCCACTCCACACCTCTGTTTGTTACCAACGTTTGGAATTAAGTAAGTTGTCTTAATCAGACATGATGCCCTTCCAGGCCAAGAAGGATCTCCACAAGAGCTCTTTTCCTACCCCACACTCTTCTACATTATTCACAATCTTATAAAAAATGCACCTCTTTATCTCTTACTAAAACTTACGGCATGGGATACAGTAGGCAGAAGCTGATGCAGTCTGAATTTCAGGATAGTGTAAACTCTGGAGGGAGTAGTGTCCAGCTCTATTGGAAGAAAAGAGTGGTTTGTTGCTTTTTTGTTTGTTGTTTTTTGTTTTTGTGTGTGCGTGTGTATACATATACATATATATATATAGTTTTCTTCTTCTTCTATTTTTCTTTTTGAGAGGGAATTTAAAATAATTAGGAAAATTGAAAAAATTGGGGAAACTGAAGAAATTAAACCACCTCTGCTTCTCAAGCTTGCTTTTTAATCAGTAGAGGACTCTTGCTCCCACAAGTCAGGTAAACATCATGAAGATAAGCTATACATTTTGACACTGGGTATAAAAAAATAACAAAAAAGAGGTATTTTAAATAACTCAATTCACTTTAAATTTCAGACCTCTTAGCTGAATATCCTAGGAAGCCAAGATATTGCCATGTCAGCCAGATCTGATGAGGAGACCTCAATAGGTGAAAAAGATTGGAGGAGTCGCAGTTCCTAATGAAACCCCCCAGGGCATCTCTGTTCTCTTGTTCAGGACTTCACTTGTGACCTTCCCAGTACCAGCCGCTCAGGAAGGACTTGATTCTCCTCTCAGACCCACACTGTCCTTCTGTCATTGGACAGAAGGACACCTGGGGGATTCAGGCACAATAACTTATCTGCCCACATGAGCAAATCTCACAAGAGTCAGTGGAATTCTTTAGCCCAGCACCCTAAATATCTCCACCAGATATGTAAAAGGTAACTCAAGAGAAGAGCAGAGAAGTAAACAGCAAAAGGTTTTATTCAAATGTGCAAATATATCCAGAAAAGAAGAAAGGATAAACCTTTTGGAGCTCTCTGTTCAGCCCAGACCCTTGATTTGTATTATGTCCCAACAGGCTCTCAGATCCCTTGGTGTGCAGAGAACATAAAGAGTTAAATTAATGCCTTTCTTAGACGCCTATCAGTCCCTGGTGACCCTGGTTTGGGACTGTCCTCTCTCGTTCACCATGTTGGATTTCTAGTAGATGAGTTAAATGGTGAAGTGTATGAATAAATGTCCTTTAATCTACAAAAATGCAATAAGTTAGACTTTGCAACTAGCTTCACATTCTTGTTCAACTTGCTTGAAAGCAAAGCCAGAATGGACTTAGAGGCAAACAGCAGCAGAAGGTGCGATACTCAGACACTGTCTGAGATGTGTCATTAAATGATGGAAGCCAGTGTCGCATTTAAAGATATTCTTGATGTACAGACAGCATAGGTGCAGATACATAACACATTTTCAAAACCATGCTACTATTTATTTCTAACAAAGTTCAATCACTTGTGCTTAATTGTTTTCTTTAAGCATTTAACGTTTTTCCTCTCTGAGAGGCCGAAGTGATCATTTCTATACCTCCCCTTGGCATGGTGATGGCACAACATTTCATAAGCCTGCAGGTTCATTTAATATTTGTTTCTTAGCTGAATAAGTAATCACAGATACATCAGTGAATAGGATCTTTCCATCCTGAATATTCATGTGTTACTGTTCTCATTGAAGTCACTAAACAGGATTTTGAAAAACTAGGCTCTACTCTTGCTTTATAGTTCCTGGATTTCTACAATCACAGAATCACAGAATCACAGAATCACCCGGGTTGGAAGGGACCCCAAGGATCATGTAGTTCCAACCCCCCTGCCTAGCAGGGCCACCAAACATACACATTCAGATCAGGTTGCCCAGGACCCCGTCCAACCTGGCCTTAAACACGTCCAAGGACGGGGCATCCACAACCTCCCTGGGCAGCCCGTTCCAGGGCCTAACCACTCTCCTAGTAAAGAACTTCCCCCTGACATCCAACCTAAATCTCCCCTCCTTCAACTTAAAACCATTTCCCCTACAAATTACAAATTACAAAGATGGCTTTAGGACAGGAACCCTGGAGAAGAAAATGATGAAGCAGAAGAGCAGAGAGGAAAGAGAAGAGAAAGGAGATGGAAAGCTTGTTCTTTCGATTAATATTAAACTGTCCATTTCCCAGCTGCAGCCTCATGAAAGGAGACTTCTTGGTGATTACCTACTAATTCAAACCTTACAAACCCACCTCAGAACACACAAAGACAAGGTAAAAAAGGATTTTTTTTATTGCAGTTTAATGAAATATGATCCACAACAGAGCTTGAAGAATTCACTAAGCTTTTGAACACATCTGCAGACTGGTATCAATTTCTTTTTTTATTTCTTCCTTACCAGCTGAACAATATATGATGAACAATATCGTGTGTGTGTGTGTGTAAACATGAGTGGCTTTTATAAATGGAAATGCCAAAGAATATAAGAATAGTCTGGCTTCTACAAAAGGCTCTGTCTCACAAAAAAAAAAAAAAAAAACAAAAACAAAAAAAAACAACCAACCAACCAACCAAAAAAAAAAAACAACAAAAATCTGCTGCACAAAACCGAAGCAAACGTCTAAAATGATTTTCATGTGTTAACATTACAGAGCATAGTTGCCTTTCACCTGGTTACCTATTCAAAATATTCAACTGAAGATGAACCAAAAGTACACATTATCCTCACAGTCCCTCTGTACTTTTATCACAGAAGGTATTGAGAGTTAAATGGTTTCCCCTTCCAAGCTAGTGCATCCTCAGTGCTCTGGCATTGTCCATACCCCATTATAACCATGTTTTACCGTTCTGTACCTAGAGATCAGAATGAATAGGTTGTAATTTGGTTCCTCTGGTGCAATTGTGCTTGTAAAGCACCGTTGTAACAGGGCATCAGTTTGTCATTACTCTTCATATCTCTCAATTACCTATGAAAAGCTGAACACATAACAAAGTGAGTTTTACAGTGCATTTTACCTGAAACTTGCAAACCAAAAAAGTTCCATGTACTTTTAGTTTAATGAGTACAGAGAGCTAAACAACACCTCTTTTTCATGATTCGATACACTAGTGAGTAGTGACCAATTTTTCTTGTGATTTTGCTGGATTTTTGTGTACGTTCTGTGGATTATATTCCCCAAATGCTGTTGTTCAGTTCTGAATCTATGATCTCTTGGAAGGTGAAGAGAAACAAAACATATATAAATATGAATGTATAAATAACGTGTGGTTTTCTTTCCTACTTTTAACAGCATTGTTGGGCAGCTGTTAAACAATCAGTCAGATCTGATGTAACTTTGACTTGGTGTGTGCCACTGTTTTCAATCATCATAAGCTTCTTCTTGGGCCACAGGTCCAAAATGGGGTGAAATTTTAGCTGTTTTCAGTGTATTCATTTCTAACTGGACATGAATATTTCATAAAAAGGAAAAGAAGAAAATGCTCAAATGTTGGTGTGGAAAGCAAATGAAATAACACTCAGCTATTGGAGTCCTCTTGCACATCTCATACTTAGTGAAAAGAAGAGAAAGACTGCAGACAATGACTATTTCCTATGATTTTTGAGATCCAGAGAAATTACCTCCTTCAAATTTTAAGCCCATATCACAGTCCTAAGTGATTTCCATCTTTCTTGGGATGTACACATTTAAAAAAAGCAGCAAACCATAAACATTCCATAAAACTCATGTATGATGTGCATTGGCTAATATGGCACACCTCTGGGATGACAGTGAATTCACTGTTGGATGCCCAGTTAATACATGGAAAAATAAAATGAACCATTTTATTCATGAATGAGCATCCAATGAAAAGAGATATTTTGACAACACAACAACACCTATATTTGTTTTATAAAACTGAGTAAAGGTTTGGCCAAAACTGTCACAGTGTGATAGTTTGGGCCATTTATTTCTCCAGATCTCCACTTTGCTACTGCTTACTTTGGAATATATATATATATATTTTAATGAACTGCAGTTAATAAATACAAAAACCTGAGAATTCTGGAGAGGTTACTTGTCCTAGTCATGATTAATTGCTGGCTAAAGCCAAACGCTTTTCTGCTGATACACTTGTGCAACTCCCAGCTTACAGCCTCATTGATACAGGCTAACAACATTGCATTTTGATTCATCCTGAAGCCCAAAGTAAGAAACACATAAAATGAGCCTGTTGAAGCCAATAGCAGCGCATATGTCAAACCAGCTCTGGAATTTTCAGCAATTCCATACTGGGTTCATCCTTTTTTTGTAACATTCTACTGAGTGTAGAGACCCTCAAAAAAAATGCAATTCTGATTTTGCTAAAAGCAGTTTTGATTCTCCTAATGCCATTTCTGGCTTTGTTGTTGTTGTTATTGTTGTTGTTTGTTGGTTTTATGTGCTTTTTGGTTTTTTTAACATAGCACTAAGTCCTAGAAGTGGGAGCCAAGGCACCGTAGCAGTAAAGTCCTTATGAATCCTTGCACCCACATCACACAGAAATGGATCTGTCCATGTGGAGCACTGTGTAGGGCCCAGTCTCAAAATGGCCTTACATTTACCCAATGAAGGACCTGCATCCTCCAGATTTCATTCTGTTTTCTTCTGGTTTTGGGCCCAGGCAGCACATACGCTCATATTCCTGATGTGGCACATCACTGAACCATCAAAGATGTCTTTCAGCTGTCCTTCAAATGGTTAGTAACTGAGGCTACACACTATTTCTTTACAAACTGGTTTGTTTGATAACATGTAGTTTCAGTCTGACCGATTAAAACAACCAGTTTCAGCCATATCATTGAAAGAAATGAGGGCAATCCCACATGCTGTATGTGCTTACATGTAATACAGTCATCATTTTAAGACATTACTAAGTAACAATCACATTTAGCAGCCAAAAAAGTAGTAATTCAGTTAAGTGAAAATATGTTGCCAAGGAGAAAAGAGAGACCATAACTGAGCAGCTCTACATGACAGCCATTGAGAGTTCAAGCCTTCACCAATGTCAGACAACATCATGCACCTGCGTGTGAGAGTGAGCAGGAGACGCTGGGAAAGTCTCACCTGTGGAAACAACATCAGGGAGATGGGAAACCACATAACACACCAGAGAATGCAAGAGAAAGAGCTGATACGGAGGGAAGCAGTACTTACAAATATGCCTTTTTCTACTGTACGAACTCAGATTGTATGTCACAGAGCCCTTTGCAGGTAATTCCTGGTACTCTGAATTGCACTTGCACACACAAACTGGAAAGTAATGTACTTATTTACACTTGTGGGCAACCATATCATTGTCACTAAGGGCAATAAACTAATGACAGCTTCATTTTTGCCAAGTTTTATTTATAAGCTAAATGCACTCAGATTGTACCTGGCCCTTTCAAGGGTGAACCATGTAGCAGGAGGCTGGAAGGAATTTTTGATTCCTCTCCAAAGAGAGAAAGAAACTGTGGTTCCCTGGGAAAAAAAAAAAAAAAAAAAAAAAAGAGCAAGGAGGAGGCAGGGCCATAACATAGGTTTCATGGGAGAATGAGAGTGAGCAAGCAACTACAGCCTGTGTTACAGGAGTAATCGGAGCAGCCAGCAAATTCTTCCAGCTGCTTTCAGTGTACAGCGCTACCTCTCCTCATCCCACGGCTCTTTGCTGCAAGATGCCCCAGCTTTCTTCAGTGAGCTGCTCTGTGTCTCCCAGGACAAGTGTCCTTTAACATGAAAGAATTCCAGCAACTAAACTCTGCAGAGCAGGATTAACTCTCAGTGGCAGTGGAGACTCCTTCTAGCAGAAGGGCTGAAACACCTGTAAATGGCATCATGGATACAGAGAGAGCCCTTGCTGGAAGGAGACCTGGGTGACAAATAGGTTATTAAAGAGCCATTCATGAGCATTCTCTTTATATTGTTCTTCCTGCTGCTGAGCCATAATTACTTTTATTTCCTTTTATTCCCTCCCAACTGGAAGATAGGGAAAAACAAAGCTTTTGTTTAACACTTCTGAACCAGGCATTCCAGCTATCTTCATTCTCTAATAAAGATCTAGGACTCACCTCACTCACCTGAGCAATTCTTACCCAACTGTATGGCACAAGAACGAAAGACTGCATAATGAGGTCCATAGTCAGAAACTCCATACAAAGATAAGACATCCCACAGAAGGAAGAAGGATTCTTGGGAACAGCTTCAAAGCTGCCTCGGTCACATATCTGTTGAAAAAGACCAAACAAAAGCTTCTCTTTCCCATGATATCTTGTCCAAAAAATCTTTCCAGCTACACACAGCAATAACTATATATAACTACAATTAAAAGACGGGAGCAGCATTTACTGGCTTAATTTCCTGAATAGGCCTTTGTTAAAAGCTGTCTGAAAGCTGCCAGTTAGATTGATGATTTTGAAAATCAACAGGATGGGCAGAACTGTATATTAATTGCATATATTACTGCAAGTATATGAGGAAAATCATGATTCTGTAATACAAGTTACATTGTTTAAGTAAGTCTTATACAGCCACAGGAGTAATGTTTCACTGCAGACATTCTCAATGTTAATCCATAATGTAACTAGCTGCAGCAAGAGAGAGGAACAAAAACCCACACCAACAGTTTGTAGCTATCCCATATCTCCGACAGGGTGATATAACATAGCATATGTTTTAAAATGATAAAGACTTCCAAGAATAAGATGCAGTTTCCAGAGAAATATTCATACACGCCCAAACAAAAGCAAAATCTTGTAATAATTGAATAATTGCAGCATTCTGTACCTAAGCAGTCCAAGAAAAATCCAGCCCAAACCAGCCCTTTTCAGTGGCTTAGCTGGTCAACACTCTTACACACAAAGCCCAGTGCTCTTCCATAAAACCTAAGAATTAATCAGCATTATGTAAGAGATTTTTATAACACTCTAAAAATACATTGTGAATTCCTTTCCAGCGTTGGACTGAGAAGCTTTAAAGTACAGCCACCCCTTCATCCCCCTTTTAAACAAACACTGGATCTTCCTTTCTGACATCAGAAACTTAAATTTGTTTCAGTATATGTGTCTCAAATCTCATTAATTACAATATTGGCCTCATGAGATACAACTGCTGCTATTAAGTGTCGTGTTTGTGCTTGAAATGATCTGAGCGTGGGCACAGATACAGATACTAGATGTGCAGAAAGACTTTCAAACAGGACAAATGGTACATAAGACTTCACAAGACCACAGGATGTTTTTGTGTTACTGTACCTGTTCGCTTGGCAACTCTTGTATCCACAGGGTAGCGCTTTGTTTGAGTTGTTCCAAAGGATACTATACTCCCATAGAATTTCTGCAGAGGCAGTTGTAATGTTAGCTTGGCAGATCTACAGCAAAGTCCTATGATCAAACTCTGGGTTGCCCTCTGTTTTTCATACACATAATAAATGAATAAATACTGGCATTATGTCTGTATCTCACTGAAGGATCTCTAAGCAAAATTACAAAGTCATCACCCGAATGCTAATGGTCGTCCAGGGTCATACCTGTGCAGAGAAGGAGCTCTAACACTGCCCCTGGAAGCAGACTCACCCTGCTCAATTCTGGACATCCAATGCTGCCCTCTAGAAGTTCACCCTGCTCCAATTTGCCCACCAACCATCATTTGATCTAGGAACATCCAAGGCATCTGCAGTCCTTCAGAACCAAATAAATCATAAGAATGCAAATGAAAAATGGGAACAAAGCATTTTCAGCTGTGAAAATCTTCTCATGGATGGAATGCATATCCAAAGGACACTGAGCAATCTCATTTTATTTTTAGGAAACACCTCAATGTAGTTCTTTTCCACATAGCAACTTTTCCCCCTGCAAGAGCAACACACCACTGACATAGCCATCTTCTCAAAATAGCCCCCCGCCATTCAAGCCACAAACAAATCAATCAAAACTATTGAGGCAAGCCAGAGAGATTTTGCAGAAAATAAATAAAGAGGGAAAAGAGGAAGACACAGAGAAGAGCCAGGAACCACTTCACTGCTGTTACCAGCTCCATGTGAGAGCTGTGCTGATACCACGGCAATACGAAGCCTTGGACAGGAGATAGCCAACGTCTCTGATGGGACGGCAACGGCTGTTCCACATGGGTAAGCAAACGTTCAGATGAAAATTGTACTCAGGACTGCAGCATCTGAACCAAAATAAGTGTTACCTATCTTGTGTGCATTTGCCTGAGCGTGTCCATGTTCACTATTTTCCTCCCTCAGACTACCGTTATTTTTTGTATTTTACCCACAACCCAGGTCCTTCTTTGTTCTCTGCTCTGATTCTTTCTCTGCCTTTCTTTCTTTGTGCCATTTTCCGCTCCCTGTATTCACACTGAATACAATCAGTCACATGGCTAGCCTTCATGTGAACTCCATGCTACAAGACATGTAAGTATTATTCGGTATGAATGCAGGAAAAACACATCCTTTTGGTTGGCTCTTCATTTACATGCCATTCTCAGATTCTCTCTCCACAGTCCTTTCCCTTTTTCATCACCCACATTCACTGTGCATTGTTCTTGTGCTTTTCTCTTTCCTTTTTCTCTTCTCCCCCATGGCCATTTACACCTCCTTCTCTTCCTGTGTCGGCCTCCCTCACCCTTCCCACCTCTCCCTTAATGCTCATTCTCTCCAGTTGCCCGCTTCCTTCCTATTCCCACCAGAGCTCTGTGGACAGCTCTTCCCCCACTGCAGGTGGTGTGACCTGGATGTGGGCAGGAGTGGTGGCAGTGCAGAGGCCTGGGCTGATGCTGGCACCATCCAGCAGACCCACCTCTATCACTCCATCCCACCGACCTGCATGAAAAACACTGCGGGGCAAAAGCCCGGGGCCGGCAGACAACTTTGGCATACAGTGGCCTTTGTTGCAGCTTGCATTAATCTGGTGATTTACTGCAGCGAGTTGCAAAAGCACAAATCCCACCCCACTGGAGTCAACAGTGGGGAACGGTCTGCGTGCAGCCACCGGCCGTGCAGGACTCCTTGGCGTTCTGCTCCTTCCTGTTGTCTCTACCGCTCCATCGCTAATTTGTTCCAGTCGCTCGTTAATGCTCTCCTAATCCCCCCCAAAACAATTTCACCTCCCCAACCATTTCCTTTGCTCTTGCAGCTCAGGATCCACAGGACGCTTTGCTGCGGCTCTCACAATGATAAACAGATGCCGGCGGTCCGTGCCGCGCACAACTTCCCGCCCCAGGTGTTGTCTGGTGGTTTGGCACGGCGGGGCCTGGCCGGAGAGCGCTGGGAGCGCCGGGGACGGCGCACCGAGAGCCTTCGGGCGGCACGACGGGGTGGGTTCGGGTCAGCTGTGTGTTAGTAGAGGTGAGCGGGTACCAAAGGATGGCAGATGTGGGGCCGTACTTCAGGAGAGCGAGGCGTGGAAGGAGAGCAGAGCGCTGCGTGACCCCGTCTCTGTGCACAGCCTTCAAACCCCCTAGCGCAGTTCCTCGATTTCCCTCACACCACCGTGCGTTCCCCTCCGTCTCCCCAAGGACAGGTTTCTCCTCAGGAGGCGCTCCCTGCCGCCCCACGGCCCCCCGCCGCCCACGGCCGCGTTGCGGGGCTGCGCGCCCGACCTCGGCACCCCGGCACTGCGAGGGGCGGCCGGGCCCGGCGGAGGGCAGCGCCCGAGCCCCTCGGCGCGGCGGGGCGTCGTGGCTGGGGGCGACTCGGCTCCGCGGCCGCGGGCAGGCTCCGTGCAGGGAGCGGCCCGGCCGCCGGCTGCAGTCCGCTCCGCGTTTTGCCGCTCGCCGCCGCGCTCCCCCCTCGGCGGCAGCGGCGGCGGGCGGGTGGCGGGCGCTCGGAACAGCCAGTTGTTTAAAATCCTTCTAGAACCGTTTCTAATTCCCCCTTGCGCCGGGGAAGGGAGAGCGCGAGCGGGGAGGGGGGAGGAGGAGGAGGGAGGAGAAGGGGACGGGGGGAGCGGCGGGGGGGGAGGAGGGAGCAGCCCGCCCGGCTCCCGCCTGCCCGTCACGGAGCGGGGGGGCGTGGCTTCGGGCCCGGCCGGCCAATGGGCTGTGTGTGTGGCGGCGTCGCCATGGCGACGGGGCTGTTCCCGGGGAGGCTGTGATGGGTTGACAGGTGCGTGACAGTCGGAGCTCTCCGCAGGCATGTACGGCAAAGGCAAGAGCAACAGCAGCGTCCCGTCCGACAGCCAGGCCCGGGAGAAGTGAGTACGGCCCCGCCGCCGTCCCCAGCCCCGCGCCCAACAACTTTTCGCCGGGGGCGGCCGCGCTCGGGCCGCGTGGCCGCGCGGCGCCGGGGAGCGGTCGGAGTGGGACCCGCGCTGCCCCGCGGGGGGTGCGGCGCCCCGGGCGCCGCTCGGCGGGGCCGGAGCCGGGAGCAGGCGGCGCGGCGCGGGGACGAGTTGGGAACAAAGCGCGGCGGCCGCGGGGCGCGGAGCTCTGGCGGCGCCCGGCTCCCAACTTCGGGCCGGGACCTCGTCGCGCCGGGCCGGGAGCGCCGCGCCGCCGAGCCCTGGGGAGGCGCGCACCGAGCCGCCTCGAAAGTTTTCACGTTGCGGCGGTCTCGCCGAGCCCGGGCCGCGCGGCCCCTCCGTAGCCGCGGGGACGGCGGGACACGGCGCGGCCGAGCAACTGGTGGCTGCCGGCGGTGTGCGGGCGGAGCGCTCCGGCGGCGACTGCGGGCGGCGCGGTGCGGAGCAGCCGTTCTCCGCCGGGGAGTTGCGGAGCGCCCCGCGGGCGCTGGTCGGGGTACCGCGGGGGCGGCGCACGCCGCGCGGCGGGGCAGAGCCGCGGCGCTCCGCTCCGAGACCGGCGCGGGAAGTTCGCGGCGCCTTCGGTCCCTCCGTTCCTTCTGCGGCCGGTCTGTCTTCCGTGTTCCAGCCATCGTAACGTCGCGTGCGGTGCTAAAAGGCGCGCTACTTTTCCAGGCAGGGCTGTCGAGCCGCCGTATTGCTGAGAAGTATCTGCCCTGCTCGGCAAAGTTGCGGGGCCCTGCTAGATGGTGCTGTTCGATTTGCGGACGCCGGCTCCCTCGCGGCGCTGGGTGCGCGCGGACGGGATGCGCGCTGCGGAGCCGGGATGGGCTGCTGCCAGGGCACGGGCACGGCCTGGCCGGGAGCAGTGGGGGGCAGCGGCGTAGCGACGGGCTCAGCCAGCAACTTAGACGTGCCCCTTCATCTCCCAGGCTTCCTCTAAGGATTCTTTTCCCCCGACGAACGCCGTTACCCTCCAGATTTATTCCTTCTTTCCCATCCTTTGAACTTATCCCCTAGCAGAGCAGATTCCGTCGTTGCGGTCCTCATACTTTTCTTGGGGAGTTGCGTTATTTTTCCTTGTGAAGCTGTTCCACGGTTGTGCAGTGCTACTCCCGAGATGATGCACGAGTTCTTGCTCTGCGCTGAAAAGTTACCATCAGATTAAAGGTCTCTGTGAGAACACAGCCCTGACTTCTGCGTAGGGTCTGGTCTGTTT